ATGTATTGACTTTTTTTGACGTAAAAGTTATAGGAATTCTATGAGACTATGTTTGGAGACTTAAGGCAAACATTTTTGTATGTTTTTACTCACAATATTTGTGCCATTTCTGTACCACTTATTCATATCCTATAAATTTAATGATTAAACCATATAAACAACGATTAAAACACTGAAATAGTTTTACAATTAATTAATTAGATATTTTCTCAATAAATTTTCATCGCATAGATCTCTGCCATTAAAGTGAGTATAAAATTGATTATATTTTCAGCGCTGGTTTAAAATTCAGATTTTATTTAATGATATGTTGGCATCAATTAAAGTGTCGTCAAATTCTTTCAGAATATTCTTTAATGACTTGAATTCTTTACATTAGAATAATATATAGATTTATGTGGACTTAAAGAAAAACCAATTTTTGATTTTATATATACGGCAAACTATACTAATGCCATAAAATCATTTCACAGAATATACAGTACATAACGTATTGAAGTGTATATAAACTTAAATCTTTGAATTGAATCAAACGTGAAAACGAATAAATAAAAGAAATAAAGAAAGAAATTCTTTGCGAAATTCAATGCCAATCCTAGAGATCAATACAAACATCAAATAAAATATATCACAAAATTTTTTGTTCACGTTTTTCTTTCTTTCAAAACATTCATTAGTCTTCGCATTCATATGGCGTACGGCTTATGGATTACAATAGCCGTCAATAGACGACACATACATTCATACAATATTTATTTATTCAAATGAATTACCATTAGTTTTTAGCACACAATTCGTGCTTCAATTCTATGAGAGAATCTCTCGCTATATATACGATATATAGAGAATATTCTGTGAGATGAGAGCCAATACTCTATGGTGTGTACCCATAGATAGTGTGTGTGTTTGCTGTAAATGTGAGTACAATTCTTATTGATTACGTGGTAAGTGTTGTTGTTATTGATCTCTTGTGCAGTCAGCTCTCTCTCGGCTCTCCCTTTGCACTCACTTTACAATTTCATTGTCGTAGTTGAAGGTCAAGAACGCTCTTAATGTCACTCCATATGGATATGTATTGACTTTTTTTGACGTAAAAGTTATAGGAATTCTATGAGACTATCAATCAATTTATACTTTCGTTTTAATAGAAAAGACAATTAGTTTAAGGACTAGTTCTCCAGTAAAGGGGATATCGTATGAGACCTCTCTATAAATAGTCAATTCATTTGAGGGCAATATATAACAAAGAAATCTATAGATTACTCGTTAGAGTACATATCATGCAAATCGTACATTCATTAAATAAGACACGAGTCATATACATACTTTATTTTAGAACCCATATGTAGGTTTCACATACACTGTACACATGTATACAGATGTGTACAAATGTATACATAGGGGCAGACTGTCCCTCGAATATGTGTGTAAAGTATATATGTGTACAGTGTATGTGAAACGTACATATGGGTTGTAAAAAAATCATTGGTCATATATTTAGGGAATATTTAACATTAAATATAATAACAATCAATAAAAATATTTTTGTTATTTGATTACATTATGGGCACAAATAGTACTTTTCTTTGATGTCTAAATCGTTTATTGCAAACCAATTAATAAACAGTTTGAATAATAATAATATGAATTGAATGAAGAATATTCTGATGAATTCTTCCTACTGTCGCATCCAATTCCTATCTCCGGGTGTTATGTAAATATACAACATATTAAAAGTGAGTTAATAAGTTATATTGCATTTTCACATTCAATAAGAATGGTGTTAAGTAAATACAATGAAATAAAATCCCAGATTTGATTCTATGTTTCTGTTATGAAATATTAGTTTGTGGTCTAAGAAAACATTAGACAACGCCTACACTCTGGGCTATGATGTAGAAAATTATATGTAATAAAGCATATTATATAACATTACATTCATGGCATAATTAAAATCCAATTCAAATCTTAGGTAAACACGCGATTGAATTAATTTCCAAGAATATGATAGCAATGAATGCATCATTTTGTATGTGTACTCAATATAAATATTATGTTTTAATAACAATTTATAATAAATTTTAGATTACAAAATATTTACTTTGAAAACACTTTTCATTTTTATTATTTTCGAAATGTATTTATTTTAAATAAATTTATTGTTAAATATTTTAGTCATTAAATGTTAATAACTTGACATTGATTTTAAATAATATCCGATCCTGAGATCACATTAGCCATCATATTATATATTATGTATTAATTTATGAGACAATTTGTGATAACATTCAAGTTTTGCAAAAATAAATGAAAAATAAATGGTTATGTATTTATCAAAGAAGACATTGCTTTCAATTGGGAGTTATTTGTCAAATAAATTGCATTTTGTTATAAATGAGATGATTTTATTTAATTAATAATATATGACCTTATTTCTCACATTTAATGGCAATAACACGAAACTTAATAATCTAATATAATCAAGGTAATTTGGTGACAAAATTATTAAATATTAAATTACAATAATAAATTTAAACACTATTAGTGAACACATTTGTCTAACACATAACATGTTTGTTATTTATCACAACTATTAAATAAATTAAATTTTAATAATAATAACAAAAAATAATAATAAATAACAAAATTGTTTGTTTCAAAATATCTATTTAATTAACTGATATTTTTATATATAAATAAAAAATAAATGAATGTTTTATGATATAGTGTGTCGACCGATGATGTTATCCAACAAACAATTTGTTGTTTATAACTAACAATATATAAATCACTTGAATTGTAACCACTATTAGCTTTATATACGATATTCATTAGGAATATAACCACAGAATTAAAACAAGAATCGTATGTATTATACAATTTTATGGCATTTAATTTTGATGAAAATTGTTATACAATAAAACACAAACACTTATATGTATTGACGGAAGAGTTTTTCTTACATCAACTTTTACATTAATGCTATAACTAATGGAAACATCAAAATAATCACTAATTTTATTGAATAATCGATATATTCTGTGCGCTAAACACCTGTTACTATCATTACCTATCGTACAGATAATTGAACCTAAAATATATAGATTATCAATAATTATCTCATAAAAAACTTTTTCATTTTATTTAAATGATATATTTTATGCTCAATTATTTCTATAATTACTTTATTTAATTAAAATTACAACAAATGCTTAACTAGATCCTAAAATTCAATTACCATTTGACATTTTGCCACAAACACGAGTCAATAACTCTGTCAAAGTATATATAAAATACTCTTAATATATAATTGGATTAAATGAGTTTCAAAATCATATATAATACTAGCTTTAAATACAATACATGTCAGACACTAATCCGGATTAAGGTATAAATCTGGACTCAAATCGCAATGAATTACAATACAATATGATTGCAAAAAACATTATTAAATGCCATTCAATTCAATGGTAACCATAAATATAAGACACAAACTATGGCTCAATAGATGTCTCCATAGAAAGCATGCATTCATTGAAAACATTGCAAAAACCAAAAATTCAAACCAAAAAATGTGTTTTCAATGCATTTGTATTTGAATTGTAAACAACTTTTAACCACTGATTGACAGCACATCATGAAAGACATGACCGAAACAACTGATCCCAGTATGGGCTCCATTGTGGACAGACGTGGCATATATTACACGACAATATTGTCTCATACGGTGTCAACGGATGGCAAACGCATGATATGTGGCCTCAAGAGCGCAAAGTTGGCTCTCTTTGACATTCAGATGATTGTCAAACAAAACGTGGATTTCGACAACAAATCACTTGACGGCCACGACTTGGAAGCGTTGGAACCGCTCCGACGGCCGCAAAATATCGTCGACACCTCTTCGCCCGTCTATTCTGTGGCCGCTTTGGCCGACAAATCAGAGTTTGTTGTCGGAGGCAAAGGTAGTGATGGACAGCACGTGTGTATGAATGCGAACTCTTGTATTAATTGCTTTTTTGGGATCAACTGATAGGCGAAGTGCAGGGATGGCACACAACCGATGACAACAAACTGGTGAAAGAGTGGACAATCGGTTTGTCGTCGGCGGACTGTATGGTGAACGCGATGGCGACCACCGATCAGATGATATTCACCGGTTGTGGCGATAATAACGTCTACGGCTTCGACGCCGAGACACACAAACAGACCGTTCGTCTCAATGGACACAAAGACTACGTGAACTGCCTTCAGGTCGCCAGCGATGGCCAGACGTTATACTCGGGCGCCGAAGACGGCTACGTAATGGTGTGGGACCTGAGACGGGGCCAGAAGTCTGTGGCGCAGATAACGCCGTATCAAACGGCAGACCTCTCGCGACCGAAATACGGCAAATGGATCGGCGCTCTGACCCTATCGTCAAACAATTGGCTGATATGCGGCGGAGGACCGCATCTGGGTTTGTGGCACTTGGGGTCCATGTCTTACGCCACCAAATTTGACACCGAAAGCGCGGCCAACGTTGTGGTCGCGCACAACGACTACATCATCTCAGGCGGCAATGCGGCCAAACTTGAGATCTGGGAACTGAACGGCGAACTCAAGTCAACGATACCGACCTCCGCGGCCGATATCTTCAGCATAAACGCTCATCACTACGACAGCAATGAGTTGGGCATCAAAGAGCTGATCAGTGGCGCCGGTATGAGCTATAGGGTCGACATCTGCACCAATTGGAAGTATAAGGACTTTGAGCTTCTCGTCTATTGATGTGTGAAATTCATTGTGTTTTTCATTTTTTATTTAATTTTATATCATTTTTTTGTTCACAAATCATTGCATTAATAAGTGCTAAATAAAAGTAAATTATGGCCTAATAAGTGACTAATCACTAGATGTTGACTCGCGTGGGCGGAACCCAACCGCCGAACCGTCTTTCAAACTCTTCGGCCACAGCTATAGTCAAGTGATCGTTGAATGGTTTGGCGATCACTTGGACTCCGAGAGGCAGTCGATCGGAGTTGAGTCCTAACGGGACTTGAGTTATGGCCACTCGAAGGCAGTTGAAGGCCATTGTGTAGCAAACGTTTCCGCTGTTGAATAGTGTGGCATTCAATTTGACACAACTGTCCGGATGTGTCGGGAATAGCAAAATGCCGTCATCTCCTAAATGAGATGTTTTCGTGTTTATAAACATATACTTCAATACATTTACAATTCAACGCATACCTAATATTTCGTAGACCTCTCGTCGCAACTCTTCTCTGATTTTATTGTATTTCTGTAATACCTGTTCGGCGACCGGTTTTCCCGTGACGTACGCCACGTATAGGGCTTGAAATGTGTGGTCAGAGCCGCCATACAGTGATTTCAATATCTCGATG